TGATCAATTTTGTTCCAGTAAGTAACGTCGCTTTATGAACATCATCTCATTGATGACAAAATAAAAGAAGGGTTATATAGGCGTGACATGAAGGGTTACGAAAGAGCGATTTCCAGGATCAAACCTCGGCATTGCCGACTGAACCTTCTCTTTCTTAGTGTTTTGATTTGATTTCACATGCTAAGTCTGACAAAACGAACTGCGACTTTTACTCGTAATTTGTTTCGGCGAAGTGGATCAATAGCTATGCAGAACACGAGAAAAGCCCGTGTATAGAGGTAGAAGAAAAACAAACGTTTACCAGTAGAAATGTAGTATCATGCTCAAGACATTGCGAAAATCTTCGATACATCTGGGCACTTTGCCGAAATTCATGGAACCTGGTCATTTCTAATGGTAAGTAACCAGCAGTCCTACAGTTTTTTCGAGAGTTCACATGCGCGGCGCATCCCGAGTGGACTTTGATAGTTTTTTTTTTATTTCAACGGGCCGTGAACCAAACAAAGTTGCTCAGGCAAACACATAATGTGCTAATGAACAGAGTTCCCCATCCTAGTTGTTTATCAACGAGTTTTTACTCTGAAAAACATTGAATTTCACGGAACAGCTGCATAAGTAAAACGGAAGGGAAACATCCGAAAAAAACTTTCCAGTCCCGGTTTTTTCAATAAAGAAAAATACTGGAAAAAGTTAAATTGAAAAAAAAAACATAAAAAGAATAGCATTAGCACCTGAATTTGTGAATTTATGCTTTAAATAAAAATTCAAGCGACCATAAACGCGGAAGTGGTGTAGTGGCATGTGGCGCACTACCTCGCACACATGGTCACGCGTTCGAATCCCGGATTGATTTTCGCCTAGGCCAATCAAGAATCCCATCCCTCCAGGGTCGGTTAATTGGTACCAGAGTCATCTGGGAGGATAAAAGCACTGACTTGTACAGGGATTGGCCACCGCAAGTCCACGCATATAATACGGCACTACGATTCTGACAGAGAGCCGAATGCGGGGCGCATCCTTCACAAGAGATTGATTAACGCCAAGAACTTTATCCTTCATCCTTTACTCAGGCGACCTGTCACTGCTCAGCAAACTCGGTGTCTTAATTTCTCTATAGCAGTAAAATGGTGAATGCTAGGGTAATCTTATGTTTAAAAGTTACCCTGACTTTAGTCGCTCTCAGAAAATCTCCTACCACAAGCCGTATGGTCACGATTTAATAGTTTGATTGTAAAAAATGCTTATAAAACATGGATGGGTGAGCCCTTTGCCGAATTGAAGTGGTATTCAGGACAAAAGTGTTGAACGAGCTACTGCCCAAGAGCTGGGCCACTAGTGAACTCAGTGTTATTCTTTTGGCAGCATCGTATCCTGAATTTTTAGCTTGCTTTGGTTACAAAGTGCCAGCCAAGAGGCACTCAACAGAAGCGCCAAACTTTGTTGTAGTGCTTCTGTCTGAACAACGACAAAGGGCAGAAACGTCCTCTTTCGCTCGTCAGAAGGGATTGTGAGGCAAGGACAAGAGGCGCCCTTAGCGCACGCACGTTTTCCGGATTGGATCTCTTTCACGAGAATCAGCGCCTCCAGTTCTTCAAATCCTTTAGCCTCATCCAAGACGGAAAGGGAATCGGAAAAGCCAAAGAAAATGAATGGAAGTCGGCTGGTCATTATTTTATTGAACAATTAGTCTAGTGCCTCCTAGATTTCGATAAAAAAAANAAAAAAAAGTCTTTAAAAAATACTCGGCACTCACTCCCAAAACAGGAGGGATCCCTATTCCAGTACGGCGTGCCGGAAACTGGTAACTCAATCCGGAGATTCATGGTAAAGTAAGATTGCTTTGAGACAGAATGAGAACCCTATTGACACAGTAACCCGAAGGTAAGTCCCGATTGTAACGTGTCCACGGCCCCATGGTCATTCTCATACAGCTATTGTCCTTTCCCTAGGTCATAGAAGAACTACACTAAAAGCTACCATAGAAGGAAGCATAAACAAGACACACGAAAAAGACAAAAATAGATAATATGTAGCAAATACGACAGTTTGAGGATTTGTGTAATCGAACAGGGAAGTACCGTGAAAGGAAATGTGTTGTCTGTGAAATTCTGCGGCTAATGCATTTTATTTCACCGCAAGATCACTGTAAGAACCGAGTTCCCGCACTAAATTATTGCTCATATTGCTCCAAGTGCTTGATATCTCCTTAGCAATAGTAGAATTTTTATTAGTCGAGGTGATAAACGCCTTTACCCAATGAGGTGGTTGCCTGGCAGCAGGAAAAAGAAAAAACTGGCTCATGGGAAACTAATTATCGGTGGAAGTAGCTATGCCCTTAAAATGGTTCGACAATTTAGGCAGTCTTTTTGTACCTAAAATCAATAATTGCCTAACGTTCTGTACATCCCCATAACGAAATAGAATCGGGGAAGCACTTAAGTGCAACGAAAGAGTGCGTCATCAAAAGATTACAGCGATAAAATGCGTACTCGATTTGTACTCAAGTACAAATCCCGGACTGTCCTCACCTATTGCGCTCTAAACAAACTTGCCAGGGAACCCTATCCCCTTCACTTTCATCCCCCTCTTCCATATGCACCAGATCGGTGGCACCCTCTACTCGCTTCACTCTCTACGATAAGCGAAATTGTCCCTCAATTCACCACCCAGCACTTCGTTCACGGGGCCACCCACAGCGACCCGACGGCCTTGTCGCGTATCGATCGGCAGAGACGCAGGGTGTCTCTGGTGGTCTGCGCGCTGTTCTCCCGCTCCCATTCGCACTCGCTGCTGCCGGCCTGCCCTCTGTGAGCACGACATTCAGCCTATTCTGTCTGTCAGTGTGTGTGCTGTCGTCGAATTGCGAAGTGCATTACTCTGCGAATCTTCTATGGGAAGGGCTGAACGGGAGCTCTACTTCCTAGGAGATTCCTCAGGCATTGGTTGTATGAGTCATCGTGGGATGACGTCAGCGATGGCGCTATTAGTCATTTTTGTTGATCCTGCTGTGTAATCAAGAGCAGATATTTCATATTGAAATATTGCTGAGTTAATCGACTATGGGATCGTTTTTCTGGAAGGCGGACTGTGGGTTGCTGGCTTGGTTATGGGGTTCCGGTTGCTAGCAGTTCTTTGTATGTGGTAATTTACCATCATACCAAAGTAATTTATGATTACTTTTGTTTTGCATGCTTTATTTGTGGCAAAACATTTGAAGGTTTGAGATTTTGCTTGTTTTTGCAAAGTTACGGAATGGTTTTTGTATAATTGAACTCGCCAGTTTATAAAAAAGGAGTGTGCGGTATTTGATTACCCATCACTTCACGGGCAGTATCTGTAGTGGGGCAACTTTCTACCAATGAATTCTTAGTGAGTAACTGATTCGGTAGTTAGTGATATAGAGGGCATTTTTTGTTTTGCATTCATAGGAGAATTTTTTAAAACCATTCGAGGCCCTATTTGCTTTAGATAAGCAAGGAACGTAGGAGAGTGGGCAGGCAGTTCACCTTCCTTAGCTACGTAAGTATAGGAAGTGATTGGCACAACCATAGCCCAGATTATCTCTCATAAGGAAAAATGGGCAGGGGAGGGAACTAGCTCTTCTGGAGTGTTAGGATGTTTTCTTCATTGCCTGTGGGTATGACGTAGCCTTATACCAGTTTTTCTCTGTGGTTGTCTTTCTTCGTCCTTTCATCATCATTCAAAGCGAAAAGTGTTTCCCAGTAGGGTTCATAGAAGCTTCAAACTGGTAATTCCTGAGTACGATAACTGGAATGGGAATGATTCTGTGTAAGAAATAGCAGGTTCAATTAAATAATTATTTGAAAGAATTTTTGGTTCCCTCTTTATGCTTTCCTATTCTTTTTCCTTTACTGATTAATACGTATACAAAACACTACACAGCTTGTTGAAAGTCTGTGCTTTGCGAAAGCGTTTTTTTGAACCTTATCTGGAGAGTGCTACAAAACTACTGTACTTTTACGGTAATTGGAGTTTGTTTTTTTGCGCTAAAAGTTGCTTGGTTTCTTTTTGTACACTAAAGTCGCCGTTTCAGCAATGATCGAATCAAGCGAAGCACGTTTTCGGAGAACTGGTCCATTTTATTTTCCCTTGAAGGGCGATGGGAGACTGAGTCATCCTATGTCAAGAACTTTTTTTTCGAACTAATTGCTTGGTGCTACGTTCCGGTGTACGTCTTTTTTCCCAGCTCTTTGCTTCAGAATGGAACTAGATGTGATTCCAGCTTGGCCTAAGTTTATTTCATTAAATTCTGAAACTTTTTATCGACTATCTTCGTGATCGATTTCGCCGTTGCTAGATTCGAACATTGAGCGGGTTCAAAGTTCTGCTTGTTTGCTGTTTCCATCGTTTCAATGAGAAATTCCTGTTTGACGCGATGGACTAACGTAAAATTACAGTAGGGTGTTCATTTTTCACTGAATAATTTCTCTCAATCGTAAATTCACATTCTTCTACTACTGGCAGTAAAAATACTAGTAGCTATTGCTTCCTTACCGCGCTCTTTGATTGGGACCCTCATTTTTCAGTTTCATTAGACAGCATTCATAGTACGCGGTGCACGCTGAGCAGTCTTTGATTGCTAGTTCGGCGATCGCCGTAGCCGCGTCGCAAGGGCCACGCGTGCAGCTGTCGATAATGTATGTTGCCCCAGCTTACCAGAATTAAAAGGGTTCTTATAAAATGTTCCATCTTTTCTATCACGCTTCACTTGTTTGTTAATTGACTGAGTAATCATCACATTATTGATTATTTGTTTGTGGTCGTCAATAGTTTGTCGAGATTGGCTGCCGGGTGGATTAAATCACTGCTGGGACCTGCGTCTTTTTTCAAGCAGTCTAGAAGCCCTCTCTGAAAGCTTCTTCAAGCAANTTGCATGTGGCGATGTTTTTTTCTCGTTGTTGCTTCAACTTTTTCGCGTTTTGGAAAGTTTAACATTGTGGTTCCTGGAAAAGTCTAGTTTGTTTAGGTAAGTGCTAGGAATGGATTCATTTGCTATGTTGAACGAGGAAGTGTTCAAGCATCTATGCAGCTTAGCTATCGACAAGGTGAGCGACAAAGCAGAAAAGAGAAGGGCCGGTTGTGGTGGAGTAGCAATGAGAAAGAGGTGAGTGAATTGCGTTTTTTTGCTAATACGCTGAAAAGTACATGAACTTTATTTTGTTTGGGGGACGACCATAAAAATAAAGTATCTTTTGGAAACTCTTGAAACCAAAGTATCATCAAAATTCGCTTACTTTTGAACAGTGGTAGTTTTTGGAATGACGTTCACATATAGTAGAACAGCTATGAAAATTTTCGCATTAATTAAGCTTTGAAGGGCCGATAGGAAATTTATGTCTTGAGGGTTACTGGCAAATCACTAATCAGTAGCGACTGGCTCTATTTCGTTTTCAAAATTCGGCGAGCAGCAAAGTCAAGTGTGGCGTTATTGCCAAGAAAAAAAGTTTATTAATTTCAGTAATGATCCTAGCTTTTACCTTGAAATATTGTCATTTATACGTAATTTAGGCTTCTTATCAAAAACTTCGTTAATGACCTGTGTCGGAAGAAAGCTGAGGATGAGGAACAAGAGGACAAAAGCTGTTCAGTTCAGGGATACAACGATGTGTATGCTCAGGTATGATTGACTTCTGAACCGTGGTACTCTCTTACTTTCCTTCGGAGATCGGTATGTTATTTCAGAACGACGAGAATGACGACGACACCGATTCGTCTGCTCGGGAAGTCCCTAACGCTAATATGGATGAAATCATCGAAGAAGCGGATAGCTTACCGAACGATGATGACGATATGATCCATGCGGTGAGTCTATTTTTTTCGTAATCGGCATCATTTTGCCATATTAAGGATAATGCCCGTTTAGCACGATATCTGGTTGGATTCTGCAGCGATGCCTGACAACACTGCTCTTTCAGATGCTATAATGTTTGATTCTGTGCATTCAGGTATGAGGGCTTTCACAACTGGTACCTGGCCTCGTTTTCGGTAATTTTTTTCGAAAGGCTTGTATGAGAGGAGCAGTAGGAGCATGAGAAAACATCAAAAGTTTGTACATCATGTCTATGCGAAATTCGGTAGAACGGTTATTGTAAGTGCATTCATTACTGAAAGCGGAGAAAAGGAGTGGCCTGCTGACACCTCTGCCGCCATCCTATGTAGCCAGGTTCTTGGGGGAGTTCATTTCTATCGTCGAGGTAGTAAGATCGTTTTTTACACGTTTCGCGCTACGCAATTGGCGAAAAGACTGAAGCCAGATTTAATGAACAATTTGTAACGATTGAACGGTTTTCAACTTCTTTGCAGTTACGTATGCATTGAAAAAATAAGAATTTCAAAGTTCAAAAGAGCAGGCAATGAGACTGAAGGATAAGCTTGCGCCGGGCAGATAATTGGAAGAAACAACAGCCTGACCGTTTAAAAGAAAAAGTCTAGTCTCTATCTTGAGCTCCCCTAACGGTCGTGTCGTTGCACCCCCCGATAACACATTCAATCGGAATGGGTCGCGGGAAGCCTGTGCGGCGTGACTTGTTGTTTCGACGATAGAGTGGCAGTACCCCCGGTCTTTTCATTAGAAGTACAAATAGTATCATTGATCTATGCCATCTTCGCTATTTTCTTGTTGAAAACTATGTGTATAGTATTTCAGAGCAAAATAGGCAATATTGAATTTTAATGCAGTCGTCCTCTTTGTTCGCGAAATCTTTCTTAATCATACATTGCCTCACTCACCGTTCTCCTAATACGAGCTACAGTTAGCGTACTTACGTTTGCGACCGCGCTTTGCATTTTTTCTCTAGAGAGTGAATTCTATTCTCTGTATTCTCTAGAGACTATTAAAATTGAAACATAACACATACTAGGCGTTTCGCAATTTGTGACGTACCTGCAAAGCAAGCAAAGTCGTCAACTGCTAAACTGAGGTTCTAATTATAGGTCGTGATGGAGCAATTGGTCGTTTGGACGATAAGTCAAGCGAATCACGGCTCACCTTATATTCCTTGTATTCGTCTGTTTCTGAATCTGCTGATAGAGGAGAAGAGTCACTGTCAGCGTGTGATCCACAAGAGTCGTTACTACCGAACTGGTTAGTTAGTCATGTAATTGTGCAAAAATCCAGCTAAAGGCCTGATAGGGGTGAATGATACTGATACTGTAACATGAAATTATCCAACTTTGCCCCCAGTGCCACTTGTGTTCAATGAAAAGGATGACGTTCGGCGTTGAAAAGATATGTGGTGGTGTATATGGGATATGTGGTAATTACTGCACGCATCACATACCATTCGAGCTTTTATCCTATAAATCTGATATTTGGCAGTTCCCTCCACATTACCTTGAATGTTACATTTTTTAGTACAAAACTTCGTGTCTCGTCCATTGTTCTTTTCAGTTTGTACGATTGCATGCAGTCGCCGACGTTTGATACCGCTCCGTTGACGTCACTGTCAGCAATCAGCAATTTGTCATCCGTGTGTGATATGAATAATTCATCAACCATACAACCTGTTTTGGCTGAAGAAAGTGATCAAATTTTCCTTTCACTTGGCAATCACAAGTACTCTGATCTCAAAACATATGTGAGTTTCTGGAGGTAGTCTATTGGTTTCATCCCTCAATGGTATATACTTTCAGAATCCCGAGTTCCCACCTTCGTCCACTTCTCTACTGCCGACTAGTATAAATAATCAATCTCGCATCAGCTGTTCTGTGGCAACAAAGCGTCGGAGCGATGAGGTTCGTTTCCCATTTTTCATTATGGGAAGGCATAGTGATTGATTTTGAATTTCCAGATGCTACTCTACGACTCCATCAACGCTGAGATTGCCTATCAAAAGAAGATCAAACTTTGAGTGATTAAACCTTTTATTGTCATCAAGTATAGTTGTTTGAAATATTTAGTTTGTTTAGTGTTATTGTCAATTATACTTCCACATTTTCCCTACGGGCGTCTTTTTCTCGCTGAGCTTTACCTTCTGCTATTTATTTGTAGTGTAATTAATGAGTTGCACTATTTGCAGCTATTTCTAAGCAGCGTAATCTGTTTTGTGACTGAGAACCTTACCTAAGCACTCGTGTAGACTTCGACTTGATCTCTTCAATCTTTAGTTATGAACCTAAATATTTTTTTCTGTTATTCTTGATCTTCTAGCATACTATGGTCGTTTTGATTCCAGTTTTACAATAAGACTGCCATTTAATGATATTGCTCAATCATTAATTTGAGTATGGTTCTACTATATTTGTTTATCTGTTTAAAGTTCTGTTTCGCTCCATCCACACTGTCGGCGTAATATTAACCTTTCATTCAATCTGGCTAAAGTATATAGGAACTTGGTTGGGTTTCAGTATCAATCAAAGCGTTTTCCCATAGTAAAGTATATCAATATGTTGTGTTTGTTCTGCAGTTGTATGATGGAATAACCAGGGTTCCACCACTCGAATAGTTGAAATATCGCCTCATTTTCAGGATTCCAACAAGACCGCTTGGTTATGCTTCTTTTTGGCTGTTAGTATGAACGCTACAAGATCTTCAGTTATTACTAGTATCGAATGGTATTACAGGGCTGAATGCGTCCTGCCAGTAGCTATTTATAACTCGTTTCCGGGTTCTCAATCGATTAGGTTATTGCCCTACCAATTTATTACTGCTTACTACTGCAGAAAAGGGTTAAGTTGCGGCCTTCTGATCAATCACCTCGCATATTAGTCCTTATCAGTTGGTTGGAATTACCACGGTGAGGTAATAACCAACATTATGATCATGCTGTATAAACGCTAACAGTACCTTTGAGTACGCTAACAGTCCCTACTACCTTTGAGCTTACTCCTAATTGTTACTGCCTCAATCTGCGGTGGGTTTTACGGTTCCCTCCCTACCTTCATCATAGCCGTGGAAAGTTTTGCAGACGGAGGTACACCGGCAGGGTGGCGACCGAACCGATGCACAAAAACAGTGCCTAAAGTTAAGTTAACTAGTAATATTAGAAGGAAATATCAGCAAGTCGATGTGTGGTGTTGTAGTTAGGGAAGTCATTGTGATTTTCTATTGGAATGTTTTTATGCTCGATTAACCTTAATTCACGAGTTGGTGGAGAATTATTGTTTAGCCGTAGATGAACGGCTGTTGTTCAAGGTGATGAAATTGATCGGGGTTGGATCCGATGGTCTCCTAAGTAGTTCATTTCTGGGTTGCTGCCTGAAATGTTGTTGCTTGAAATGTCTTTGCTGGTTTAACGTTTTGGCGATCTGTTTTATTAAGCGTCTTCATCTTTCATTGTTGTTTATTAATCGACTCAAAGAACAATTCCCCGGAATTCCTCGCATTCTTCTACAATCCTGCAACCTAAATCAAACCAGTACTGTAGCTTTGAGCAAACTAAATTCCGCAATACCAAGCAAAATTCATCAGCATGGTTTGCCACTTTCAGTAAACTGAGAACGTCTATTGATTAGTGGAAAATATCGAAAACCACAATACTGCCTAAACATGTGGCTCACGGTATTGGCGTTTTGAAAAATAGGTATTGATTTTGCGCGCGTACAATCGGCCAATACTACTTGCATGCAGTTGAGTGGAGTGAAGGTAGTTTCAACTTGTGTTGTCAATCTTTGCGGTTTCAACGATTCATGAAATAGCTTCTGGAAATTTCTATCAGTAATCACTGTCGAATTAAGACCACGACAATGAGGCCGTCGTCAGATTGCGTTAAGACAGAGGTGGTGAAGTGACATGGGGCGCTCTATACCAAAATCATTGTCTGGGATCAAAGCCTAGATCGAGACCAGCCAGACTAACCATTCATTCATTTCTCATTGTCATTATGGAGGTTTCATTCGCATTCAAACACTGCAAAAATTTTGAACGGAAATCGAAAGCGGGCTGACTTACAAGCGGAAGCTGTAGCTTTTTACTCTCTCAGACTCTAAAGGCATAGCTTCCACATCGTGCCTTTTCCGGTTCTCTTCAACTAGTAAGGTATCCTCCCATCATTCTACATTCGCTCATCTTAAAACACAGAACCTGTCCTTTTAAGAGATTGCCTAATGACTTCCGGGAAGGATGGCTCAAGGGTTGATAGAACGCTCTTTTGGGAGGGCCTAGGTTAAGAGAGGAGGATAATATTGAGTCCATGAAAAGGTGTCGTTCATGTTTTCAGAGTATTAGTAACAGTAACGTTTTGTAGAGGTAGGTTCGGTTTTTTTTAAATGCCCGCAATAGTGCATATGTAGTCCTAGAACTGCAGGTGGAGGGAGGTTCGCAAACCGGTCCCCGGCATTGCGGCGTTATTTGTTGAGCTATTTTCGGATGTTTACTTCAAATTGGGGTTATAGTTAGCATGAATGTTCGTCTTCTCGCGACTGTCCCCTCTTGTATTTCAGAGTTGTCTAAATGGGCGATCCAAAATTAACCTATAATGTAAATATTTTTGTAACTCTTATTGAACCCAAAAAATAAAAAAATTTTTCAGAAGCAAAGTTCCCCCGATTTAAAGAGAGTACACACGAGGGGAAACTGTGAATTTTAAATCAATAGTCTCACAAGGTTGGCGAATTATTGACAAAAATTCGGCCTCGGAAGGGACTCAGTGAAGGCCCAATTAAAATTAAAAAGACTTAATGAATAGTTATTAATCCCAATATAATAACAATTATCATTATATTATATTGCTATTGGAGGATGATGGTGAAATGGCAGTGGAGCACCTCATACACGCATGGTCACGCGTTCGGATCCCGGATCGCTATCGGCCCAGGACAACCAAACCTTTCATCCCTCCACGGTCGGTAAATTGGTACCGAACTCGTCTGGGAGGATTAGAAGACTGACTTGTACAACGACGGGCCACCGCAATTCATTGTATAGGCCACATTCGCAATCAATACGCCAGTACGATTCTGAATAGGAGTCGAACGCGGGGCGCATACCTCAGACGGGATTGATTGGCACCCCAAGACTTTATTCTTTATATCATTATTTATTAATTATTTAAATTTAACCTAATGATGTGAGTGAGTAAATAAATGAAGGTTAGAGTTAAAGTTCATGCTCAAATCGATCGAATCGAAGCTTTTAGTCACCACTGTCTGCGTTCTCGCTTGTGGTACGGTGAGTAATACAGCGAGGAGTGGATGGTGTCGAGTCCATTCTACAATGTTATTAAGAGCTGAATATTCCAATTATTCTGGAGTGGGCCCGAAATTGTTCATTCCTCTCCGCATTACCTACAGTCCTACGGTAACATACCATGGTGAATCACCACATGGACCAACTGGTTTGAGTGGAATTCCAATACTGTTCCCACACTACCAGCTAGATTGAAAGCGAATTTGAATGAGCCTCTCCTAATTCAATTATTCATTTTAAACCTGAACTCTGATAGGCCTTTTCGGAATGCATGTACCCTAATGTGAAAAATTCCAAGAGCACAAAATGGAATATCCCTGTTCAATAAAGGTTTTTGCATGGGATTTCGTTCCCAGGCCACAGCCAACGAAATTTCAGGATTACAACCATAGATGCTCCAAAATTGTAAGCTAGGGGAGGCGAAACTTTTCGAGTGGGAGGAATATCTTGATTCCTATGCTAAAGGTAGATTTAACGTTCTGCAGACCCAAAAATGGAAATCATCGAAGAAAACCCCAAACAAGGTTCATGAATTTGTTGAAATTACGCTATAAATGGCGAAAATACACAGTTCTCGCTGCAGGGTATCTGAAATTCCCTAGAATTCGCATTTTTCCACGCGAATTCGAAATTACCGACAGTTTTTCATAAGTGCGCGCTCAAGAAAAAATTATTTTATATCCATCCGTTAAGAAAAGAAGTCATCTGTCAAGCAAGGGGCGAATCTGAGAAATATGTGTGACGACAACACGAATGTTATGAAAGCTAACCTTTTTTTACACAANGTTCCCAGGCCACAGCCAACGAAATTTCAGGATTACAACCATAGATGCTCCAAAATTGTAAGCTAGTGGAGGCGAAACTTTTCGAGTGGGAGGATTATCTTGATTTCTATGCTAAGATAGATTTAACGTTCTGCAGACCCAAAAATGGAAATTATCGAAGAAAACCCCAAACAAGGTTCATGAATTTGTTGAAATTACGCTATAAATGGCGAAAATACACCGTTTCCGCTGCAGGGTATCTGAAATTCCCTAGAATTCGCATTTTTCCACGCGAATTCGAAACTACCGACAGTGAGTTCTGTTTGTGACTGTTTTCATCAGTGCGCGCTTGAGAAAAAGTTATTTTATATCCATGCGCTAAGAAAATAAGTCATCTGTCAAGCAAGGGCGAATTTGAGAAATATGTGTGACGACAACACGAATGTTATGAAAGCTAACCTTTTTTTACACAAACGACAAGACTGGCAGTGGCTGTCACGGTGGTTACTCGGCGAGGTGGTCGAGGCAGCTCGAGCTCTACATACTGGACATTCCTTCTAGTAATGACGTGAAGGACAGAGGGACTCTAGTTCGAAATCCAATTAATGCTGTCTCTTTGCACGTTTTTTTAATCGCTTGCCTGTGGGTGACCTCGCTTCAAGATGTGAGGATCAAAGGATAAAGGGTCAAGTCTCTTCGCGCTAACCAGTCCCGTTTATGTCATGCATTCGACTTTCATTCAGAATCGTAGTGACACTTGAATGCGTACGTGGCCCTTCAGTGGTCAGCCAATACAATAAGTAAATTATAACAAATTAGAATTACTGGAGCTTGTTAAATAGGTCAGTGCTACCTTCCTCCCAGGGGAATTTGGTACCGATCAACCGAGCCGAGAGTAATAGAAACTAGTTGGACTGGCGGGTAATTTTTGGGAATCCGATCACCGGACCCTAAGCGTGTG